TAACAAAATGTGCAATTGTCGTTAAAAACACTTACCTACTCCTCATACACCAAAGATATACATACCTCCTCTTTTTTTTTTTGGATGAAATGTAAAAATATATTAACACCCAGAAAAATATACATCACATAAACTAGATCTCCTAAAACCTCCCACCCCTACATAGTGTGAGGGTGAGAAGAGGTTTTTATTCGATCTACTCTATGCCAAAATAACCAAGTATATAAATACTTAGCACATCTAGAGTTTCTAAAAATACAATAGTGCCGTCAAAGCAGGCACAAATAACAGAGGCTAAACCATCTAAACAACTCTAATGTGTCATAGCAATGCTGGCATCCAGTCAAGGCCACTGCCTCGTGACGCTTCATCCATGATGTCCATGTCGCGTTGTACGAAGTCAACAGGCCGCGACATCCATAGAGTCATGCCTCAGCATAAAGTAAAAGACATGATAATGTCCAAAGTCTTCAACGCAGCGGGAAGCACCAATTAAGCCCCTTGGTCTCAGAAAGTTATCAAGTCATGTGGGTATATGTTGTAGAGTAGCTTATATACCACATACTTGACCTTCACAATGACTTCTTCCTCTTTAATGTCTTTCTCATCAAATCTATTTGCGTTTCTAGCGTGCCATAAGTAGTACACCGTTGCACTAAACGCAATCCGGACAGCCTTCCCCTTTATTTTTGAGCCCTTGTGTTCTTTCAAGATCCATTTGACCGAACTGCTTAGCGTGGACATCTCGCGCGTCAATCCCAACCATTCTTTAATTCTCTCCCAAACCCTACAAGTGTAAGAACAACCAAAGAATAGGTGTGGCATTGTTTCCAAGCCACCCTTGCAAAGGTCACATCGATTAACGATATGTAGGTAATCGAGGTTATCCTGCGTAGGTAATCGATTCCTCAAGGCAAGCCAAATGTTGAAGGAGAATTTGGGAGGAACATATGATTTCCAAATAAAGCTCATCCACACTTTCGGAGTCCCCTTCACTCTCAACAACTCATAGATTTTTCCCGACAGGAGTTTACCATCTTCGGATCTAGAGTTAAGGCCCATCACGGCATCATTTAAGTTATTAAAACAACTCAAAATACGGTCGCGGATGTGACTCAATTTCTTCATGAAAATCGAGTCACGATTGTGTGGGATAAAATCCCACACACTCCTACCCTGAAGATAAACCCCATTGACCCACCTTACCCAAAGAGTATCCTTTTTCCTATGGACATCCCAAAGCGTACGAGAGAGGAGAGCATAGTTCCAAATTTTGGCATTATGAATGCCTAGGCCCCCCTCCTCTTTTGGTAGACAAATGTCATCCCAAGCCAAATGTCATTCCAAATTTTGGCATTATGAATGCCTAGGCCCACCTCCTCTTTTGATATACATACCTCCTCGATTCAACACATAGTGGTCAAAGTGTAAACTAGTGATAACAACTCAAATAAAAGGTAAGGATAATTGAGACATTTGCTATTATGAAAACGGGAAGATAACTTTGGAAATTGGGATATACAATAACGATCTGAAATTGTTTTTGGGACAGAAAACGTGCTCAATTATTTATAAAGTAATACTGATTTTGAAATTTAAACTATTTCCCGCATCAGTAAAATATAAACTATAGTTTCGTACTCCCAATGGGTCACCCATTCTTGGCCTTTTTGCTTAACTGCAAAGTTCAATGATCAAATAGAATGGATGTGCACACCTCCATATACGAGTGATAGCTTCCGGGTTACTCCGAAGTGCTTAAAGAGAAGGGAGAGCTAAAGTATAGAGAGAGAAAGAACTTGCAATAAATGGTTTCAGATTCCTCTACAACTATCTCAAGGGGGTATTTATAGAGGGAATATGGGTTCGGCTCACATGACTTGGGCCTGCGAGGCCCAACTACATTAATGGCCACTAGCGGGCCATTTACATGCATAAGCGATATACTAAGGGAATTCTTAGAGCCGCGCGAAGGGAAGGTATCGAGGTGCACAACACCTCGGCCTTCCTAAGGGTTGTGCCAAGGTGCTCTTCCTCCGAGGGGTATTATCCGAAAGTCTTCCTCTGTTTATGGACCAGGCTTCTTCAAATGATCCTTACATCTACGGCACAACCATTGGGCCGCCTATATGTCCAAGAGTATATGGGCTATAGGTGCGAGCCCATATACTCTATCAGGAGTCCCCCACTCCCTGAGCTGAAAGGTACCGAAGTAAGGGAGTAGAGTTGCTCCATGATTGGTTCCGATGTCCTTTATTGTTAATTAGTGGCGTTATGGGTGCATGGTCCAAAGTAAAAGCAGCAGAGACGCCTATGTATTATTCATGTAGAGGGTGTTGCACCCATGCATCGTTGCTTTTGGATCCGAATAGTGCTTGTGTGCCGAGCCATGACATGGGAAGTGGCGTGGGATCCCTTCTCTTGGGTGAACCCTAAGCAAGGCAACCATGTGGGAGAATCCTTGCCCTAAGGTCACTGGCCAGAGAACCTCACCGAGAAGCCGAAATTGAGGTGCGTGTTTTAGTTTTTAAGGTCAAGGGTGTCTTCTGTGTTTTTCATTTGTTTCCGAGGTGTAGTCCCCCAATCCCCCACTCCTGATGTTGAGATGGCACTACAAGAAAAGTGAACATAGACCACACTTAGACCAATTTTTTTTTTTGCGATGGCCGCATAACTGTCGTTAAAAACCCCATTAACCACACTTTTTTTTGTTTACCACACACAAAACTGTGGTAAAAGGTCAGAGGCGACAGTTTTTAACCGTGGCCAATGTATTTACCACGGCTGTTGTGGCGACGCACGCAAAACTGACGCAAAACTGTCGTAAATGACCCTCCTTATGTTTTAACGACAGTTTTGCGACAGTTTTACGTGTGTTGGCACAACAGCTGTGGTAAAAACATTGGCCACGGTTAAAAACTGTCGGCTCTAAGCTTTTACCACAGTTTTGTGCGTGGTAAATAAAAAAATGTGTGGTTAATGGTGTTTTTAACGACAGTTATGCTGCCATCGCAAAAAAAATTGTGGTCCATGTGCAGTCTATGTGCACTTTTCTTGTAGTGATGGATGTCAGTGTGAGGAGTATGGAGGTGCCACTCAGGAATGCTTGCTTCTGGTGTCTCAAGTGCGGTGATCCTTTTGTCGTGGTGTACTGATAACACAAGTTGATTCCGGTGCGCCATCATCTGTGCGTGACTGGTCGTGGGGAGGAGACAAATACGAACACGTGGCGCACGCTGGATGGCGAAATGTGGGTGGTTGCGTCGATTGAACCAAACGACAACTGGCGTGTTGACATGTGTTGCTTACCAATGGGGGGTCACCGTTGATGCGCCTATAAATACCTACCCCATGCTATGAATCAAACTAGGGTTTTCTACGATCACTTAATCTAAGGTCTAAGAAACGCAGGTTAACTTGAAAAACGGATGACGAAGTGACCTTGAAGGTTTGAAGGATCGCGAAGAACAGCTAAAGGAGTTTCTCTCTCTAGATACCGAGAGTCTGTCCTCAAGCCTGGACAACATCGAGGTGGAGCTGAGTCATAAGGTTTTGAGTCATTTTAAGGAGGACTTCAAGGTTGATTAGGATGATTCTTCTCACGTTGAAGAGGAGGATGACGTAGGATCTAAGGAGTGCGCCCTAATTGTTTATGAATCCGAGTTTTTAAGGGAGTGTGATGTTGCGGGGCAAGCTGAGGTGTCCACGTCAGGTCACGGGGGGTCTCCCTCACCTATCTCAGTGGGAATTCCTTAGAAGAAAAAGATGAGGTACCGGCATCTTGTGCCTGTCGGGGTACCGAAAGGATACTCCTTCCTGGATTGCTCCCTGCTAAAAAATTATTCGGAACGAGAACACCGATGCCGACGTCACACTCGCCCCAGATGTTTTAGGGCTGCATGCTACGATGCGACAACCGCTTGCCTCGGACTGTGTTCTGAACCTTGAGAAGGGGTACTTTGGTGCTTTCTAAGGGAGTAAGGGTATGCGCTTTCCCCTGCACCCTTTCCTCATCAGCTATTTCGAGTACACCGGTTTGAGGCCAGCCCAATTGTCGCCGAACACCTATGTCCTGATCACCAGCTTTTTGTTGAGGTGTAAAGACCTGGATATCGATCCATCACTGTTATTATTCGTGAATTTGTATAAATTAAGCCGAGGGGGAACAAGAATTGCGGTGGTGTGGCTAATCTGCAGCAGCAGCTAGGCAGGCGTAATTTCAAGGGGCTGCCCACTTCCTCCAAGTGTTGGAAAGCCCGGTTCGTGCTTATCTCTGTAGGGGATGAGAGGATCATCCCTTCTGGTTATAATGAGGTGTTTAAGAAGCACCCGATCGTGGGAAAGGTTCCTTCATATGACATTGCTCCACTGGTGAGGGCATTTCTTAATGGTGGGCCCCGCGTTCTGGCAAAATTTATGACCGAGGAGAGAATGGTTCTTCTCGCTATGAGAGATATAGGCTTCTTGACGAACGAAGAAGAGGTGGGATGTTCTCTGAGATGGTTGAGGGACCTGAATGGGCAAAAGAAACCGAGGCGCCTGAATGACCAGGTTGCCTGTCCGAAAACCCTATTAGTTGTTCATAACTTAGTCGCTTGCCTTGTTTACTAACTTTATTTGTTTCTTATCCTTCTTGCACTGAATGATATGGACCGGAAACCCTTCTCACTTCTCAATAATAACAATAATATATTTCATCTGGTATTATACTCATATGTTTCTAACTCATTAAAAACATTTAGTCTTGGACAAAAATTAAAGGCCTAGAAACTCATTCCTATATGGATGGAATATTAAGTACAAACTAAAATACAAAGCCAAATAACAGTATACCTACAACTCTATGAGCTTATATATTAGATTGATCTCTTAAGATTTAAGATGAAAAATGGAGCCATTCTTTATACGATATCATAACCAATTATTAAGATAAATGAACAATTAAATCGCGTAAAACCTCATTAACAATTATACATATTACAAGATCATGTGAGCCACCATCTTGCAAGGAATTTTAAATTATCCCAAACAGCCTTATATAAAAATAAAAAACAATTTGAGTGTTTATTATATAAAAATTAAAGGTCGTTTATGTATTACAAGTTTACAACATTGCGATGAATTGAAGCATGTACATTTGCATGTGTGTGTAGAGTTATATGTGTTCAAATAACCCATCCTCATCTCAGAATAGTCAATAGATACATATGTTGTATATATGAAATTGTTGATTAAATTTAAAACCAGTAAATGCTGATCAGAGCTATTGTCCTTGATCAGCTAGCTAATTAATAATTAAGCCAACTTCTTAGTTGTTCTTAATTAATTTTGTCTCTTTCACATGTCCTCTGGGAATCTTACTCAAAACATTTGCATGTAACCAGGCATAGTATTTTTTGATCTCCATCTTTCCTTTCTCTGCAAATGCATCCACTTCCTCTTCGTATTTCTCGTAAACCACCGGCACCGTGAGGAGTATAATAACACCTGCATGTATGCATTTCCATTGAATATGTACAAAAACTAATTAGGGGCGGATCCGGGACTCTGAGTTGGACTGAATTGAACGATAATTATGAGATATTACCCGAAATAGGACTAAAAAAGTTTGCAAATTCCAAAATAGGACTTCCATGTTTTTATTCCCAAAATAGGACTAATTATTGTCATGTTTTGGCAGTACCAGACTTCAAACATGACAGTATTTTCCAAATTTGGCAGTAATTAGTCCTATTTTGGGAATAAAAATATGACAGTCCTATTTTGGAATTTTCAAACTTTTTTAGTCCTATTTCGGGAACTTTCCCTAATTATATTAGGTATAAATATCAGCGGGGTTGGTTAAATATGAGGTGTGGAGATTACTTACATATGTATATTAGAGTCAGGAAATCGCAGCTGCCGCCCAGAATTGCGAATATCCATAGCCCAGAAATGACCTAATAATTAGTAATTAGAAACAATGTTGATGAGAGGGTGTGTCCGTAAGAAAAATAAATAATCTCCTTGCTAATGAACAAATACGGAGTATCTATTACTTCGTATTATATTTGCTAAGATAAAATTACTAGGAACATGACTGTAATAAGGGGCGGAGGTACGTAAGGGATGCGTTAGGCCATGACCAATCTTAAATTTATTAGTGTAAAAAATGTCGTGTAAAAAACTTTGAAACAGCTTAGCCTATACGAAGTATATCCTAGTACCTTGGCTACTACCGTGGAAGAAATATATTGCTAAAGTTTGACTAGATAATTAACACCAATTTTATTCCTAAATTAATATTTCATATGTACTACCTAATATTTTGCATGTATGATACATTTTTTTATGCTACTTTTCACCCTTCCAATTCGATTATAACTCTTATTGAGACACTTTTAAATTAAATTTGTTAGGCATTTATATACTAAAAATATATGAATGCTTAAGTCACATATAGATAAATTAAATTAACTTCCCATTTGCTAATTTAATCACATGTTTTATATAGAAATTGTTTAAAATAGGAGTAAATTAAAACATATTGAAATAAAAATTTTAAAATATGGTTAAATGTGTTTTCTTTTCAAAGTAAGATTTATTTACATTAAAAGAACAAAAGAATAAACACTTCATTAAAGATGAGTGCATAAGTCCTAATGTCCAACATTGGGAATGAAAACATTTCTTACTTTACTACTCCGTATTAATTTGGGATTTTATCACATCACATATATACTACGTATGTGTGTAGCAGTGTAGTTATATACCTTCAGAAACATAGTCGAATCCCTTCCAAGTGAAATTTGGTGTAGAAGTAGGAAGCACTTATTGAAAGCAAAGCTAATATGAGATGTGATTTGCAACACTGTCTTCTCCGGGATGTGAACTTTTGGGATTGGTTGCGGAGATCTGATGGGAACATATAAAAGTTAAGGATGATATATACTACAATATATGTATGCATGAAAGAATATGTTTTCTTTTCGTAATCTCTTCAAACATTAACTTATTTTTAGTATAAATGTGGTGCTACACATTTGATGTGCATGTTTCATGTTTCCCGCGTTCCCATGCAACTAGCTAGAATGAGATTGAAGAAGCACTTGCACGCATGAATCATGCATGAAATAATATAATTAAAAAGAATGACACCCTATATCTGAGGACTCACGTACAATATCAACTCCACACTTATGTGAGAAGATGCAATAATATACTAGTAATGACACACACATGCATGATTGATTGATATATTGCATAAAAAATGCTTACTTGTTGAGTAGAGGGTTACCATTTGACCAGGAAAAGAAGATAGCGAGAGTGAGGATTAGAGCGTGGGAAGCGACCTCCAGCACACGGAATTCAAACCGCTGAAGCAGGAGCCAGGTAAGGGTGGCCCCAGCCAGGATCCTCGCACTCGCCCTCTTATTTCTCCATAGCACCGCATCTCCCACTGCATAGATTTTAATTATATTAGCCCAAATCAAACCCCGCCACCCCTATTTTTCATGAATATTATAGAAAAATGACATTTATATTACGATTAGAGTTTTCCCGAACAAAAATATGACTAGTTATGTTTTTGAACAAAAATATAATGTATCTCAGAGTGACAAGTCAATGGTTGATGATGAGTCACCGAATATGTCATTTTTCTGGAAAATTTTAAAATAAGTCATACTTTTGTCTTTTGAATTTAATTTAATAACATTCATGGATAAAGGTCAATATTATATAACACAAGTATTTGTATTTAATTAAGTAGTACTCCATTTAAATTACAAGCACAATTACTGTTACTATCACAACATGCTACTTTTTCCTTAAATATGACTATCGAAAATGTGACAGTAGTGTGATTATCGAAAATAAAAATGCTACTTTTTCCTTAAATATGAGTTACTCCAATGTTTGAAAAGCTCTATCGATTAATCATAGGAAAATTACTATAAACCCTTAAAATTATGTCATAATTACTTTGCAACCTTGCATTTTTTAAAATCAATTAGTGAACCCCTGGATTTTGATTATTCTCATTGTTTGCCCCTCTTGGAAAAATATTTATTTAATACAAGTAAAAATGATTTATCATCATAATTATAAGTACCCTAAGTCATACTTGATAATCGTTATTTTTTCTGCTTAGCTACTCGATGAACAATATTAATTTAATTAAGAACAAACGAGTCACAGGTAAAACTCCTAAGATGTACTTGTATCATAGAAGGTTGTTTAAAATATGTATTCTAAAAATTTTACACTTTTTCTAATATAGTCTTATTTGTAATTCATTCATATCAATTGTGGCAGTGTCACTTCTTCAGCGAGTAGTAAAGAAGAAATACCAAGATCCAAATATGACTTATAATTTAATCATGGTAATGAGTTATTTTAACTAATAATAGCATATGATTTAGAAAAGTTTAATTAGGTTTAAGAATTATATGAAGTTCGATACAATTGATGTTTGCTAGAGCCTAGAAGAGTAAACATAGAGAATAACCAAAATTCGAATACTAAGTAATTGATTTTTAAAAATGCAAGGTTAAGTTAGTTCTTTAGACCTAGTTTCATGGTGCTAATAGTAATAATTTTCACATAATATAACATTAGTACTATCTTATTAATGTCTTGAATAACAAAATAGCAGTATGATTTCTAGAAACACTTAAAGTATTTCTTATTTTAAGAACAAATATAGTACTCATATTTTGAAATATCACATTATATTTAGTCCTGTTTCGAGATATTTCCCGCTAATTAACTTTTTTTTAATTGAACCTTGTTGGATGAAAAAAGATGTAATTTAATGTGGGAAAGAACTCACATTTTCCTCCACCCAGAACCTTGTGAATCGATTGTTGACGTCCAAAGAGGTGACGGCTCTTCTTAGACTCAAGTTTCTGGTCCCCGTCAGCCATGGCCTGATTCTCTTCCTTCAAATTCCAAGTCTCCAACAACTAACAGATCACCAAAAACGATATAAACCAGGAGTGTTTGTTAAGATACAAATAAATTCAATATTACCTCCTTTTATAGTCGCCAATATTTTTAAAATCTGTATTCCTTGTCTTAATGCTTACAAAACAGAGTAACAAAGTAAGGCATTTTGAAGGATATTAAAATATTTTCAGTAGAGTACTAATTAAGTATGGCATTTCTTCAAGAGATACACAATAAATAGTCTCATGAGGTGCCTTCAAATGTAATCTTCCACGACATTCTTACATTTATTGGTGACAAATACTACAAAAGCAAACATTGTTTATCATGTATAGGTTTTATAAGCTTTAATATAATTTGTATTTAATTTAATGTGATCCACTAAATTAATCACAACAAATAACTAATATATACTACGTATAAGTTTTTCTTCTAATTTTATTTGTGGTTGAGAAGACAATTCATAATTTAAGCCAAGTGTATGCAAATTAAATTGAATTTAATTTAGAAGTTAGGAAAAAGTGCGGAAAAAGTACTTGTGGTTGGGCCCGTTTTCAGATAGATCATGTATTTCATTCTTTATCAAAGTGGTTCATGTGTTTCAATACCGTTATCACAAGAGGGTCACGCCGTTAAAAACGTCTTAAAAAGACCGTTAAAAGCAACTCCGATTTTCAAAAGTTCCCGAAAAATTATAAGAAAAATACCGGAAGGTGCGTCTCAATAAGAAGACCGCTAGGCCATCTTTCTTTTTTTGTTTTCATTCACCCTTGTCACCGGGAAGTCCACCGAAAAAGTGATATTAGTGAAATCATTTTCAAAAAATAATTCATACTGATCTGAAAAATCCAAAGGCGAAGGTGGTTTGGAGGTCATCTTGATGAGACACACCTTTCGGAATTTTTCTTTTAATTTTCCGGGTACTTTTGAAAATCGGAGTTACTTTTAACGATCTTTTTCAGACGCCTTTAACGGCGTGAACCTCTTGTGATAACGGAATTGAAACACATGAACTACTTTGATAAAGAATGAAACACGTGATCCTATCTGAAAACGGGCCCAACCACAAGTACCTTTTTCGTACTTTTCCCTAGAAGTTATTCCTTGCGGAGTATTAGAATTAAACTTGTAATAAAAATGTAATTGAAAGCACTATATGTATACTTTCAAATGATTGTAAATTTGTAATGTAGTTTACCAAAAAAATGATTGTAATGTAAAATTTCAATATAATTATGTAAAACTATTACGGAGTATAGTTTACCAGAAGCCGGTCTTGATTCGGGTCTCCCCATTGGTCTGGTCCAGTCCCGATTTTTTTTATCTTTTTATTTTTATATATGGAATTTATTCCTCTTTTAAGTGCTTATAAACCTTTGAAATGCAAAAAATACAAAACCAAGTTGAACCGCAACCGTATCGGCCAGTTTCAGTCTCCAAAATCACTAACCGAGACCAGCGCTGGTGGGGGTGGGTCAGGTGCCGGTCTTTGACCCGAATTAGAAATAATGGGCCATATCTAATCCTAGAAACATGTTGGTTCTGGTCCTGACTAGTCCAGGACTGTGGACCGGATCCAAACTAAGACTGAGAAACCCCTTCAAATTAATATTATCAAACCAGGACATGAAACATAGTTCATCATCAATAAGAGACCTTAAAGATAAATTGAATCGATATTGGATCCAAACGATTGAAAGTTATCAATCTAAGACCTCTAATTTCATGAATTGTAATATTTATTTATTTTGAAAAATTAAATATTATTTAATCTCATAAAAAAGAATAAATTCCACTTTTGGTCCTATGAGTTTTAGGTCAATTCCACATTTAGTCCACATCTTTCATTTTGTCCACTTTTGATACATGAATATTGTGTTTTCGCCCATATTTAGTCCTTCCGGCATTGTTTCCGATGATTAAAATCGCCGGAAAATGACCACAAACGGTTAAAAAACATTAGTCAAGTATCAAAAGTGGTCAAAGTGAAAGACTTGGACTGAAAGTGAAATTGACACAAAACTCGTAGGACCAAAAGTGGAATTAATTCCATTAAAAAAACCTTGTAAAGCGAAGGACATAAAAGAGTAGCAATAAAATTAATAAAAATGTAAATATATCAAAAGTCTTTGTCATTTTAGGTTTTAAATTGATAGTTTTCAATCATTTTGGACATATATCGACACACTTTATCTTTTAGGCCCGTTATTGACAGAGAACAAATCTTTTGGGTGAACTACTCAGTTATTGAGTTAGTGAAAATCATCGTTTATGCAAACATTTAAGTTTTGTTTTTAATTAAAAAAAATTGGATGCATGTTTTAATTTCAATAAATTCAGTCATTTTAAGTTATGTGACAATCGTAAAGTTACCCATTGCTTCAGAAATCAGAACTATTACGTTTGTAATTGAGTATATTATAGTAAATCATCTAAAAAATATGTTATAAAACATCTATATGTTTTATAAATTTCATATATATATGACGATCGTTATGTGACATTTGTTTAGCTAATTAATTTCCATGTTCTAACGACTAAGCAATTGTCAAGTCTTGACGATATGAAACATTTACCCAATAAAGTAAATATACCTAAATGTTGTGCTTATCAATGCTAGTGGCTGTAGTTTAGTGGTAAGAATTCCACGTTGTGGCCGTGGAGACCTGGGCTCGAATCCCAGCAGCCACATTTTTTGATATTATTATCATTGAATGTTGCTATTGATTCTTACGGAGTAGTGGAGTATTAATTGCTCTTAATTCTCTTTGGTGAGTTGGTGCGAATAAGTTCATGTGCATTAATGATCAAAATTCCAATTTTATAATTGTATTTAATTTTTTTGTTTTCGTCTCAATTTTTTGAAAGGAAAATGCATACTCCCTCCGTCCCCGAAAGAAGTTCCCCTTGTGCATAGTGCATATTTGGTCATCGAGTGTGATGCCAAAGTTTAAGTGTGGGGGAGTGAATTGGGCATTCGGGCAGTAGTTGTTATGCGGGATTATTAGAGTTAGCATGCGCATGTGTTAGTTATATATTCATAGAAAATTCATGTCAAAATTTTGAAATTTTTTTCTTTAAACTGTGTCTTTGTGAGCTGGCTAGCGTTTTGACTATTCTTTTCGAGCATCTTTGAAGTGTTTAGGCATAAAGTGTTGCGCTATAATCTAGTTGTTGAGAGGATGATCGAAGGCATTAGTCACCCATTGAATTCATAAATCTTCCATTTTACCTGAATAAGTCCTTTAGGAGAAGCCACTTTGAACCTGACAATTCTGTTCTTTACCCGATTAATTGAGCTCCATAGCCAAATGACGTGTGTTTCCTTACCCGTGAATAATTCTGACAAAGTCTTGGTGTTTAGGGAACTAGAGGATTAATTGCTTAGTTTAGGGAGTTTCAGTAGGAGCCATTTTTGGCACTGTTCATATGCTCCAAATAAGGTAAGAACAGTCACTTTTTAGGAATTTGATATTTTTGAGGATTGCATTGTAGACATGGATTCACCTGTTTAAATGAACTTTAATTGCTAATTTTCTTTGGTAAGACCGAGATTAGAATGGGATAATTTCTAGTGAAAATCTGGGAAACAAATTGAAAAAATTAATAATAGTTAGACCTCTAACCTTGCGAAAAAGAGAATGGGAAACCCGGTCAAAAAGCGTAAGTGTTTTGCACAATAAGATGAGACTCGAGGATCTTTCGAAAGAAATGGCGTTCTCGTGCCAAAATGACAAGGAAAACTAAACTGAATTAATTGAACTTGGAGGATTTTGCAAAATTAGCATTAGTCCCTCGCGTACTCCAAGTATACGTCAAAGCACCAATGTGCAACGACAGTTTAGTTTAGTTGTACATCATGTCTACTCTTTGCATAGGTTTAGATGATTGTTCCTAATTTGTGTCATACTGAACTCTTTGATCCTAATAATAGCTCTGAAATTCCTGAATGCATTGAGTCTTTGTTAAGGTGCTCAAAACTCTCAAAGAAATAGATTGTTCATTCTTTACCATTCACCATCGCCTTCACAAGTCCTTTTGATCAGTTGCTAGTTTATTAGTATATGCGGTCATTACTTTGAGCATGCATGTTGTGAATAATTTGGTCATTAATTTTAGCTAGAGTACAAAGATGTAGTTTAGGAAAAAAAATCTTGGTTTAGTCTGTTTGTTCAGTGAGCATCCATGTAACTACCTGTGCATGCTGATAATTTTGATTTTGTGTGGTAATTATTGTAAGTCCTGTTGTTCAGTTTCCTTGAGGACAAGTCCGTATTTCAACACGCATTATTCTAATTATGCTAATATAAGTCCGTATTTCAACACGCATTTGATGCGTGTTGGGATCGGTTTTTGATGGTTTCCTAACTTTAAGACGTCATAAGTCTAAATTTTAGGTCAAGTTATGTTTACCGGACGTTGGTTCGAGTTTTGTATTGTTTGGAGTCAAAATCGGGAAATTAGAGTCTGGCACCGGCACTTGAGAAGCAATCGGGATGGGTTGATGAGCATTCGAGGGTGATTTGATAGTTTTGGAGGGCTCCGGGAGATTCACGATGAAGAATAAATGACAAATGAGCTATTGGATTGATCACGGGGCCAAACGGGGACTTAAAATAAGAAACTGAAGAATTTGAAGAAATAAGGCTACGCACAGCCGTGCGTACAGGGACCCATGTCATGCGTGCATGACAGAAGCGACCAGGCGAGATGATGTTTGATGCACGGTCGTGCGTCCAAGGAGGAAATTCGATGGGGCTACTGCTAGCCACGCACGGGCATGCGTGGGGGGACGCACACCGTGCGTGGAAGTTTTTAGCGCGCGGATGAATCAGACGCGTGGACGCCACACACGCCGTGCGTGGGCGCCGTACGTGCCTTCTGCAATCCTTTTCCAGCCCAAATTCCCCCGTTTTCTATAAATAAGTCGTCCAACCTCGATTTGGGGTTACGGAATTTAGAGAGAGGCCTAGGGACAGGTTTTTACGTATTTTTCCGCATTGTTTTTTAAGACCCTGAGATTATTTGTAAATTCCTACTTTTTAATTAATGACAATTATTTATATTCATCCCAATTCTGTTAATTTATCAATTATGAGTTGTGAGTAGTTTAATCATGATGTATGACTTGTTT